TGTGGTTTTTCTTTTTCAGTTTATTTACATGGTGGATTACATTGATGGATTTTCGTATGTTGAACCCCCTGCATCCCTGGGATGAAGCCTACTTGATCATGGTGGATGATATTTCTGATGTGTTCTTGGATTTGATTCACCAATATTTTGTTGAGTATGTTTGCATAAATGTTCATGAGGGATATTGGTCTGTAGTTCTCTCTTTTAGTTGTATCTTTGTGTGGCTTGGGTATCAAAGTAATTGTAGCCTTGTAAAAAGAGTTTGGTAATGTCCTTCCTGCTTGTATTGTGTGGAACAATTTGAGGAGTACTTGTATTTGCTCTTGTTTGAATTTCTGGTAGAATTCTGCAGTGAAGCCATCTGGCCCTGGGCTTTGTCGTAGTCTCCATAGCTACACAGAGAGACCCTGTCTTGAAAAACCAAGAAAAAAGAAAGAAAGGAAAGAAGGAAGAAAGGAAGAAAGAAAGAAAGGTTGAGCAAGCCATGAGGTGCAAGTCAGTGAGCAGCACTCTTCTGTGGCTTCTGCATCCGTTCTTGCCCTGCTTAAGTTTCTGTCCTGACTTCCTTTGATGATGGACTGTAATGTGGAAGTGTAAGCTGAATAGCATCCCTCAGGTTTCTTTGGTCATGGTGGTTCATCACAGCAATAGTAACCCTAAAGACACCTACCCATCTGTGAAACCTATGAACCACAATTATCAGCATGGCAAGATATCCCTAAAGTGCAATGGAGACACTTATACTAGGTTGTAACCAATAGCTGCCTAATTGGACTTAAAGGTCACTCAAAAGAAGGAAATAATGCCTTGTTCTGTAGACCTAGCCAAGTACCCTTGGCTAGTGAGGTCGGGGATCTTTAGAGGAGATGCTACTATCGTCACTTAACTAAGCCACTCTAATCCCTCACTGCATTCTAAATACTTCACAGATACCAACTCTACTACTCTGTGTATTACTCCCTTCCGACAAGGTTTCTCAGTCCACCTGGACATAGACTGGCAGTCAACAAGCTTTGGTGTTTCTCTTGTGACAAGCTCAAGGCCACACATGGAATTTTACAGGATTACTGGAGATACAACTTAGATCTTAATGCTTCAGCTTCATACCCTCTTATCCACAGAGCTCTTACCCATAATCAAGAATCTTCTTTTGAGGCAGATGGAGACCATCATACAAAGTCATAACTAGTTAAAAATGCAGAGAATAGTTGACTCGTGAGATAAACAAGTGTGAGGTGAGTGTGGGCTGTGCTTGGGCACAACTCCAGCCATCCCCATCTTGGAAATTCCTGGACCTGCCCCGGACGGACAGACTACCCAGAGTTTAGCTACACCTCAGTCCTGCCCCCTCCAAGACCTCTGCCCTCTGCTTGAGTACACCCGCCCCAGCAGGACAGACCACCCAGAGTCTGGCCACACCTCTGTCTTGGCACCCCTCTGTCCTCCTCCCTCTGCTAAGGTGAGTGTGGGTTCTGCTAGGGCCCAATTCCCACCATCACTCCCTTGGAAAGTCTTGGCCCTGCTCAGCATGTAGTAGGACTCACCCAGGCAGTAGGGACCAACAGGAGACTGACCACACGTCACTCTTGGCCCCCTCTCTCTCCTATGCCCTCCACTTGAGTCTTGGCACCCCCATGCCCTCCACCTGGGTGAGAAGAATACCAGGAGAGTCAAGACCATCCAGAGTTGCCAACACTGAAGTCTTGGCCTACCTATGCCACCAGGAGACAAGAGGAGAGGGAGAGACTAGAAGAAGGGATGGAAAGACAACAGTAGAAGAACACACTCAACAACAGAAAGACCAATATGACACCAGCAGGATCTAGGGACTCTACACCAGCAAGACCTGAACATCCCACCTCAGATGAAGCAGAAGAGAAGGACCTTAAAACAACTTTATGATGATGTCAGAGACCCTCAAGGAGGAAGCGAGAAAATCCCTTAAAGAAATGGAAGAAAAACAAACAAAAATACAGGAAATGGAGGAAAAGACAAATCAAAAAAATCCAAGAAATAAACAAATCTCTTAAAGAATGCAAATAAAGCCAAGGGATAAACAAGTCCACTGATAGACCTACAACACGCCCCCTACACCTATTGTTCCGGGAGCATTGTGGAAGAGGAGGAAGAAAGAGTATAATAGCCAGAAAACTAGAAGTCTGCTGTAAGCTTGTTTCTAAAACATGGCAGGGAAGCTACATCCATGAAATCTCAACTGCAGCTGCTTAAAGAAGACATGACCAATGACCACATCAGTTGACATGCTGTTGTGCATGGGAGTATCTCACAGGCCCCATCCCTAGATGAAGAGCTGTGGTCACTTAGTGACTGCAGAGAAGGAGCATTAGTCTTTCCCAGAGATAATCTTCTAATGGTTGTACAATATTAAGTGGTTTCCAGAAGCCCTATAATCATATACATGGAAGCAACACTACATGCACTTGGAAGTTGCATGTAAATATTTACTTGAATATATACATATATACATACATATATGTGTGTATGTGTGGCAATAATAATTAAAGAAAAGAGGTCATGAATTTGAGAGGGAGCAGGATGGGGCTATAAAAAGTCATTCTAAAAAAATGACTTTTTTCTTAAGTTTGGTTTTTCATAGAAAATTCCCTGCTCCAATTCCACTAATGAGGTTTGTTTTAATATTCTTTGTTTTGTTTTGGTTTTGGGGGCAGGGTTTCTCTGTATAGTATTGGAGCCTATCCTGGCACTCGCTCTGGAGACCAGACTGGCCTCGAACTCACAGAGATCCGCCTGCCTCTGCCTCCTGAGTGCTGAGATTAAAGGCGTGCTCTACCAACGCCTGGCTTGTTTTAATATTCTTATGACCAGTTATTAACAAACTTTATTGAAACACACACACACACACACACACACACACACACACACACACGCGAGAGAGAGAGAGAGAGAGAGAGAGAGAGAGAGAGAGAGAGAGCACGTTATCTATTTGGCCAATTTTTTGTCAATCTCAACTGGACTGTTGTTTTTATAAGCTGAAAATAATAGAGGTAATAGTTACGAGTGTAAGCGGTCAGATAAAATCAGAAGAATATTTCATGTCAGGAAAGAAAGGAAGAAATCTGAAGAAAGGGTGAGGTAAAAAGAAAGGCTAACAACATGTATTTCATGAAACGAGGGAGGCTATCTGGGGAGAGGAAGAGGGCAGGAAGACAGGGAGGGGCAGAGGACAGACAGCAATAGAAACATAACAACAACGGGTAATGGTGCATATATATTAAAATGCCTCAGAGCCCATCTTTGACAGCTATCAAAACAGTGCAAGAAATAACATGGCATTTTAGCCACAGCAAAACTCCAAAATAAAACAAATAGTCATGTCCATAAACACAGCATGGAGCACAGTTGGGTCAGAGCATGGCCAATTGCTGTTCTGTCCTATGTTCTGTCTTTGAGACTGTGTCAGCAGAGCTGTACAGGTGTGACAGAGGCCCACAAATCCTACAGATTTAGCCATCATGTCCTTTACTCAGAGTTTCCCACCTTTTTCCCCCTCTTGATATGTCACAAAGCATGCCATGTGGATTGAGCATTTACTATGAAGATGTTGTTGGATATTATATTATTCAAGTTCTGAGATAAGACACCCTATCAGGACTTAGAGTCAATGAAAAGTGCCTTTCTCTTCAATTATTCTTTCTCTGCTGTTGATAATAGCTAATACAGAACCCATTTCCCCATCACCCTGCCTGTAACAATCTCCTAATTCAATGAGCTGTTTAGTTACAGCAACTCTTTAGTCCTCATAGCTTCATACTTGCTACTTTCATTCCAAAGGTTACTGTATTTCACAGATGTTACTGCATTTGAATGTTTCTATTAAATACCTCAAGTCCTTCCTATTTTACTTCTTCCCTTTCTGTTCTGAATGGGGAGTGTTGGGACCAATTAAGTCAGTTGATGTCCTTTAAGGATGGGTCATATTTTAATTCCCTTGATTCTACAAGATCACTGCAAGTTGGCATTGGAAGGAATGTTTTCCTTTGAGTGTAGCTTGGGTTTCAAAGGTGGCATCTCAGTATTGCTCAAGGTGAGGCCTTTGGCACTCAGAACCTGTGCATCTCTGGTTATGGTGTGACTGTCCTCATTTCCCTGATGTCAGAGAGAGGGAGACAGAGGTGTGAAGTGTGTGAATTGTGACAGTGAAGGCTGAATACATTTCTACTGTGAGTCTTCACTTTTCTAAGCCTTGTCTCCCTCTCAAGAGTGCGTGTGTGGGATTCAAGGTGGGTATATTGTCCAACAGACAGAGATTTTGACAAACCTCTCAGGACTGAGGTACATATTTGAAATAATAGCCAGCAGGTATAGGTGGCATCCTAAAGAGGTAAGTGAGAGATTTTAGAACACAGTTTTGATTCACAATGAAATATGAGCACAAAAGTTTGTGATTCAGTGGAACTGTTTTAGTGGAACAACTTGGAAGCTGGGAATACTGAGGACAAGAAATGCGAGAATGATATGACTGGTAGCCTAGGAAGAAACTTTGTGGGAAGAGAGATTGAGCAGTCTAGTCTTTGCTATGATATCATCAGTGGAGTCTTCCATAAGCCCCATGTATAAGGGCCTTCTTGTGTGCAGCTTGAACATGTGGGATCTGCACATGTTAAAGAGGTGACTGGGGATCAAAAGGTGAGTAGCGTCAAAGCTTAGATAATGAAACAGAGACATGATCTGGGGAGTGAATAGCTTTTTCTATGGCACACATTAAATGATGCCAACTAGGTGCAATGGATTTTGACTCTAGTTTTCATACAGAGAAAGGCTTATTGTGGAGAGGGAAGTATGGACTTTGAACAGAAAGACAAAGATTAAGTGTGGGTAACACTTATATAGAGCAGCAACAGGATGAAAGAGTAGGAAGCCATTTCTCAAGCTCCCATTGTTCTAGATTCCATCCCTGCATCTTTCCATATGTGCTGTGAGCTTGGAAAAGATAACCTCTCTCTCTAGAGCTTGTGCATTGGAGACAGGTGGCTACTTTGATGCTTGAGAAGAGGAAGAGGCAACGGTTTTGCCTGAGTAACTTGGAACAAGGGAAGTCATGCTGAAGCTGGGGCAGGAGCCTTCCCTCTTTGTAGGGTCCATCTCAAGGGAAGGTCCAAGGGAAGTCATGCTGAAGCTGAGGCAGGAGCCTTCCCTCTTTTTAGGGTCCATCTCAAGGGAAGGGACCTTCTAGAAACCCCAGGAGCTGCATGACGCCTGGTTTTCAGAATCCACTCATATTCTGAGCTGAGCTATGGGTGCCATTTGGACTAGACTCACTGCTGACCACCGTGGGTGTCCAGTTTCTTCATGTGTCAAATTCAACTCCAGCACTGCAAATCCAAGCAGGATCATTTCTAGCCTGTGACTCTTAGCATTCCTCTGTAGTTCTTCTGACCTTCTATTTTAGTTACCTGTCCCTAGTTTCCATAAAGGTGGAAGCTCACCTGTGAAGAATCATCATCTAAGTGGACTAGAAGTCCCATCCCCAGGTGACAGGTCAGTTTACATTTGGCTTTGAATCCAGACTCCCTGGGTTCCATTTAGCAAGCCCCTTACCTGACATCAACATTTTTCCCAGATTTTCAAGGCTTGAGCTTAGTAGGTGGAAGGAGCTTTCGAGGGTACTGTGATCCATGAAGTGTTTCATTGTTGAGCTTGGAAATGATGAAGAAAGGCCTATGGGAAGAGACATTGTGTGATTTTCAGAGAAGCAGCAGTAGAGTCAGGGTAGCAAGGCTGGGGTCCTACCTGCTTACCCCCATGCCCTTTCCTACTCTTTCTTGGAGAGAATGATTCTCTTATACCTGCTTCAGGGTCATGTTCCTACACTGGGACCATGAAGTTCACACACATATGCTGTTATACTCTAGTCCTCTTTGTGAGTCTCCATTCCTTTCTGAGCCTCAGCTCTCTCATATGGCTCTCTGACTTTGTGTCCCACAGGGATAGGTAGCATCTTACTGTATAGTTTAGGTTTGACTTGAGTTCACATTCTTCCTGCATTATTTTCATTTGTTCTGATACTTTAGGAATATGTCCAAGGCCAATTAGTTTTTTTTAATTTTTATTTTTTTTTAGTGTTTGATCTAAAACTTCAAGGCGTGTATACTGTCCATTAGACAGAGAGATTTTGAGAAACTTCTAGGGTGTTCAAGTACTTATTTCAAATAGTATCTGGCAGTTATTAAATGACGTTCTAGGGAGGAAGGTGAGAAACTTCAAAACACAGTTTTGATAGGCAAATAAATTTGAGCATGGAAGTTGAGGATGGAGTGGAATTGTTTCAGTTGAACAACTTAGAGGTGGGAATAGTGAGGAAAATAAGTGAGAGAAGGAAACTGTCGGCAGAATTAGAGGAAACTTAGTAGCAAGAGAGACATGAACAGAGTAATCTACAGTATCATCAGTGGAGTCTTCCTTCCCTATGCCCCTTGTGCAAGGGCCTTCTTGTGTGCAGCCTCAACATGTGAGAACTGCACCTGTTGGAGAGGTGTCAGCGGAACAGCAGGCGAGCAATGTGAATGCTCAGATAATGAAACTGATTCTGTCTGTGGAATGGCTTTTTCTAAGACACACATTAAATGATGCTGAGGTGACTACTAGGTCAATGGCTTTTGACTTTGTAGTCTTCATTCTCAAGCCTTGCTGTGCAATGGTTAAGAATGAACTTTGAAGGGAAATACAAGGGTTAGATGTGGGCAAGACTTTCACAGAGTCACAGGAGGAACCCACTCCTATTTTCATCTGAACTCTAGGTGCCATTTGGGGTAGGTTTACTGCTGACTCCCATGGATTCCAGTGTCTTCATGTGTCAAATGCAACTTCATCACTGCAGAGCCCAGTGGTAACATTTTTAGCCTGTGACTCTTAACATTTCTCCAAAGCTCCTCTGACCTTATATTTAAGTTACCTTCCCAAGTTCCCATACAGGGAGAGGCTCACCTGTGAAGAACAACCATCTATGTGAACTAGAAGTCCCATCCTCAGCTGTCAGCTCAGTTTATGTTTAGTTCTGAATCCAGACTAGTCAGGTTCCCATTTTAAAAGCCCCTTACCTAATATCAGAATTTCATTAAGATTTTCAAGACTTGAATCCAGTAGTTGTAAGGAATCTTGGAGTGTAGTGGGATCCATGTAGCACTTGATTGTTAAGTCTGGAAACAATGAAGAAATGGATGGACATGGGAAGAAACAATAGTTATATGATTGTCAGAGAAAAAGCAGTAGGCATCAGGGTAAACAATGTTGGGGTGCTACCTCCTGACTCTCACACCATTCTCCGCAGTCTCATGGTGAGAGTGATGCTTTTACACCTGCTGCAAGGTCACCGACCTGCACCAGGGCCATGAGGTTGACACACATATGCTGGACTACTCTAGTCCTTTGTGTGAGTTTCCGTTCATCTCTGAGCCTCAGCTCCCTCATGTGGGTCTCTGACCTTCTGACCAACAGGAATAGGTAGCATCTTATGTGTAGTTCAGGTTTGCCTTGAGTGCAGATTCTTCCTGCATTAATTTCATTGGTTTATTTTTAAAAGTATTTATTTTTACTTTATGTTCATTGATGTTTTGTCATGGGTGTTGGGTCCCCTGGAGCTAGAGTTACTGACAGTTGTGAGCTGCCATGTGGGTGCTGGGAATTGAACTCAGGTCCTCTGGAAGAGCAGTCAGTGCTCTTAACCACTGAGCCATTTTTCCAGCCCCCTTCATTGGTTCTTGTACTTTAGGACTATATGCAGGATCAGTTAGTGTTATTTTTGAAGCCTTATGATTTTTCTTACTGTTTGATCTAAAACTTCAAGGTATATGTAGTATCCATCAGATAGAGAGATTCTGAGAAACTTCTTATGGACTAAGGTTTATGTTTTGAAAAATAGCTGACAGTTACTAATTGGCATGCTAGGAAGAGGAAGGTAGGAGTTTTTAAACCACAGTTTTGATACACAATGAAAATAGGCATGGCAGTTTGGAATGGAGTGGAACTGTTTTAATGGAACAACTTGGAAGTTGGGAATAATGAGGAAAAGAAATGAGAGAAGGAAACGTATGGAAGCCTAGGAGGAACCTTTGTGGGGAGAGAGACATGCACTCTAGTTGGTTACAATATCATCAGTGGAGTCTTCCATAAGCCCCATGTGCACGGGCCTTCTTGTGTACAGCTTAAAGACGTGAGATCTGCACCCGTTGGAGAGGTGGCGGTGAAACAAAGAAGGAGCAATGTGATTGCTCAGACAATGAAACAGAGACACTGTCTGTGGAATGACTTTTTCTAGGATACAGATTAAATGATGCTGAGGTGACAACTAGGGGCAATAGCTTTTGACTCTGTAGTCTTCATTCTCAAGGCTTAATGTTGGAAGGGAAGAATGGACATTGAAGGAAGAGACAAAGGTTAGGTGTGGGCAGGATTTTCAGAGAGTAACAGGATGAATGTGGAGGAAATCCTTTCCAGGGCTCCTGTGGTTCCATAATAAAGCTCTGCATGTTCTGTGAGCTCGGGTAAGTTAACCCCTTCTCTAGTCCTTGTGCATTGGAGAGAGGTGGCTACTTTGATGCCTGAGGAGGAGAAGAGGCAAGGGTGTGTTCTCCCTAAGTTGAAATAAGGGAAGTCAGGCTGAAGCTGAGGCAGGAGCCTTCTTCTAATTGGGGGTCTATCTCAAGCGAGGAGATCTTCTTGGAGCATCAGGACCTGTATGACCCCTGGGATTTCAGAATCCACTCATATTTTGAGCTGAATTCTGGGTGCCATTTGGGCTAGGTTCACTGCTGACCCCAAGGGGTACCAGGTTCTTCGTTGTCAAATGCAACATCAGCACTGCAGAGGCAAAAGGCATTATTTCTAGCCTGTAACTCTTAACATTCCTCCATGGCTCCTCTGATCTTTTATTTTAGTTGCCTGTCCCAGGTTTCCAAACTTGGAGAGGCTCACCTGTGAATAACCACCATCTAGGTCGACTAGAAGTCCCATCCCCAGATGCCAGCTTAGCTTATGTTTAAGATTTGAATACAAACTTATCAGGTTCTCATTTAATATGCCCCTTACCTGACATCAGAATTTCTCTCAGATCTTCAAGTCTTGATCTCAGTAGTTGTAAGGAGGCTTGGAGGGGAGTGGGATTCATGTAGTGTGTAGTTTCTGAGCCTAGAAATGATGAAGAAGGGGCCATGGGAAGAGACAGTGGTTGTGTGATTGTCAGAGAACCAGCAGTAGGAGTCAGAGTAGCAATGCTGGGGTCCTACCTGCCTATCCTCACACCCTTCTCCACATCTCATAGTGAAAGTGATGCTCTTACACCTGCATCAGGGACACGGTCCTGCACTGGGATCATGATGTTCACACACTTATGCTGGTCTATGTTAGTCCCATGTGTGAGTCTCCATTCCTCTCTGAGCCTCAGCTCCCTCAGGTGGGACTCTTGACACTCTATTCCACAGGGATAGGTAGCATTTTAATCGTAGTTCAAACTTGCCTCTAGCTCAGTTTCTTCCTGTATTAATTTCACAAGTTCAGGGTTCATAGGAATATATCCACTACCAGTCAGTAATCTTATCTTTGAAGCCTTATGATTTTCTTTACTTTTTAATCTAAAACTTCAAGGTGGATATAGTGTCCATCAGATAGCAATTCTGAGAAACTTCTTGGGGACTCAGGTACATATTTTAAACACTAGCTGACAGTTATTAAGTGGTATCCATGGAAGGAAGGTGAGAGTGTTTAAAACACTGTTTTTATACACAATGAAATTTCAGCATGAAAGTTCTGGATGGAGTGGAATTGTTTTTATGGAATAACTTGGAAGTTGGGAATAGAAAAAAACAGTGAGGAAAAGAAATGAGACAAGGTACTGTTGATAACAATGGTAGGAAGCCTTGTGGGGAGAGAGCCGTGAACAGTCTAATCTGCTACAATATCATCAGTGGAGTTCTCCCTAAGCCCCATGTGCAAGACCCTTCTTATGTGCAGCTTGAAGGTGTGAGATCTGCACGTGTTGCTGAGTTGGCAGCTGAACAAAGAGTGAGCAGTGTCAATGCTCAGATGCTGAAACTGAGACACAGACTGTGGAACAGCTTTTTCTAAGACACACGTTAAATAATGCCTAGGTGACAACCAGGGCAATGCTTTTGACTCTGTAGTCTTCATTCTCAAAGCTTAATAAAAGCTTGAGAAAGTATGTGTTTTGTATGGAAAGAAAAGGTTTGGGCAGGACTTTCTCGGACTTGTAGCAGGATGATGATGAGGAACTCATTTCCCAGGCTCTCATTGTTCTAGATTCCATTCCTGTATCTGTATCTAAGGTCTGTGAGCTTGTACAAGTTAACCTCTCTCTAAAACTTTCGTGCTAGAAGGAAGTAGCTACTTTAATGTTGTAGAAGAGGAAGAGTCAAGGATGTTGTCTGCATTAGTTTACATTTTAGAAGTCCTGAGGCAGGAGCCTACCATCTCCTTGGTGCCATTTACAGGAAGAAATATTCTTGGAACTTCTAGAGCTGCAGCACCCCTGGGCTTTCAGTTCCCACTCATATTTTGAGCTGAACTCTGGGTGCCATTTTGACTAAGATCACTGCTGACCCCCACGGTTTCCAGTGTTCTCATGTGTCAGATGAAACTTCAGCACTGCAGACCCCACAGGCATCATTTCTAGTCTGGGATGCTTAACATCCCTCCATGTCTACTTTGAACTTCCATTTTAGCTGCCTATCTTAGGTCCCTACATAGGTGGAGGCTCACCTGTGAAGAACCAGCATCTATGCCACTAGAAGTCATATTCCCAGCTGCCAGCTCAGTTTATATTTGGTTATGAATCCAGAGTCATCAGGTTCTCATTTAACAAGTCCCTTACCTGACATCTGAATGTGTCTCAGATCTTCTTCGAAGACTGATCTCAGTATCTCTAAGGGGTCTCGGAGGAGAGTTACATCTATGGAATCTGTGAATGTTAAGCCTAAAAGATGAAGAAAGGGTCATGGGAAGGGACAGTCATTGTGTGATTGTCAGAGAAGCAGCAGTAGGAGTCAGAGTAGCAATGCTGGAGTTGTGCCTGCTTACCCTCATACCCTTCTCTGTATCTCATGATGAGAATGAGGCTCTTACACCTGCTGCAGGGACATGGACCTGCACTGGGACCATGAAGTTCACACACATATGCTGGTCTACCCTTGGCTGAATCTCCATTCTTCTCTGAGCCTCAGCTCTCTCATGTGGGTCTCTGACTTTATGTCCCACAGGGATAGGTAGCATCTTATTTGTAGTTCAAACTTGCCTCAATCTCAGATTCTTCCTGCATTAATTTTGTTCATTCTGGGATTATAGGAATATGTCCATGACCAGTTAGTAAACTTCAATGTGTATATACTGTCTATTAGACAGAGAAATTCTGAGAGAACTCTTGGGGGCTCAGGTAAATACTTCAAATAGTAGCTGACAGTTATGAGTGGCATCTTAGGGAGGAATAGAAGAGTGTTTGAAACACTGTTTTGATACACAATGAAAATGAGTTTGGAAGTTCAGGATGGAGTGCAATTGTTTCAATAGAATACCTTGTAATCTTGGAATACAGAGCAAAAAAAATGAGAGAAGGAATCTTTTTGGCAGCCTAGGAGGAACCTTTATGGGGAGAGAGATATGAATAGTCTAGTTGGGTGCAATGTCATCCTTTGAGTCTTTCCTAAGCCCATGTGCAAAGGCCTTCTTATGTTCATCTTAAGAGGTGAGATCTACACCTGTTGGAGAAACAGAACAAAGGGTGAGCCGTATCAATGCTCAGATTATGAAACTGAGACACTGTCTGTGGAATAGATTTTTCTAAGACACACATTAAGTGATGCTGAAGTGACAACTAGGGGCAATGTCATTGACTTCTAGTCTCCATTCTCAAGGTTTATTGTAGGGAGAAAAGAATGGACTTTGAAGGAAGAGACAGGGTTATGTGTGGGCAGGACTTACACAGATCAGCAGTAGGATGGAGGAGGAGGAAGTCCTTTCCCAGGCTCCTATTGTTCTAGATTCTAGCCCTGCATGCATCTTTATGTGTTTTGAACCAGGACAAGTTAACCTCTCTCTCAAGACTTTGTCCACAGGAGAGAGGTGGATACTTTGATGTTTGATAAAAGGAAGAGACAAGCCTGTGTAAGTTGAAATACTGGAAGTCAGGCTGAGGCTGAGGCAGGAGCCTATGCTCCCCTTGGTGCCATCTACAGGAAGAGACCTTTTTGGAACTTCTGGAGCCACAGCACCCCTGGGATTTCAGAACCCATTAATATTGTGAACTGAACTCTGGGTGCCATTTGGGCGAAGCTCACTGCTGACCCCATGATTTCCAGCATCTTCATGTATCAAATGCAACTTCAGCTCTGCACAATCAAGAGGCATCATTTCTAGTCTGTGACTCTTAGCATTCCCCAATGGCTCCTCTTATCTTTCACTTTAGTTGCCTGTCCCAGGTCCCCAAACAGGTGGAGATTCACTTGTGAAGAAATACCATCTGTGGTGACTAGAAGTCACATTCCCAGCTGCCAGCACAGATGCATTTGATTCTGAATCCTGACTAATCCAGTTCCCATTTAACACACCCCTTACCTGACATCAGAAAGCATCTCAGTTTTCTAATGCTTGAGCACAGTAGATCTAAGGAGAAACCCAGGGTTGTTTGATCCACATTGGGCATGACTGCGGAGCCTGGAAATGATGGAGAAAGTTCATGGGGAGAGGCAGTGGTAGTGTGATTGTCAGAGAACCAGCAGGGGGAGTCAGGGTAGGAAGGCTACCCTGATATGCTTCTCTACTCTCTCATGGAAAGATTGACACTCTTATACCTGTTGCAGGTATATTCTCCTGCACTGGGACCATGAAGTTCGCACATATATGCTGGTCTACTCTAGTCCTCTTTGTGACTCTCCATTCTTCTCTGTACTTCAGCCCCCTCAAATGGGTTCTGAGCTTCTATCCCAGAAGACCAGGTAGGATCTTACTGTATAGTTCAGGCTTGCCTAGAGCTCAGATTCTTTCTGCATTAATTTCATACATTCTGGAGTTATAGAAATATTTCCATGAAAAGTAAGCAATCTTATTTTGAAGCCATATAATTTTTCTTAGTGTTTGATTTGAAACTTCAAGATGGATAAAGCGTCCATCAGACATAGTGACTCTGAAATGAAGAAGAATGGGCCCTGGGAAGGAAAGAGTTGTGTGGTTGTCAGAAAGAGGTAGGAGCCAGGGGAGCAAGCCTGGGGTTCTCCCTGCTCACACTCACAGCCTTCTTCACAGTCACGTGGGAAGAATGATGCTCTCAGAATTCCTGCTGAGAAATGGTCCTGCTCTGGGACCATGGATCTCACATCTGTCCTGTCTCTGCACTAGTTCTCAGTGGGAGTCTCTAGACTTCTTTGTGAGCCTCAGATCCCTCATGTGGGGCTCTGAGCTTCTGTCCCACAGAGTTGCAAACTACAATGATACCAGCAGCAATTGCATGGACTTGTGCTTATTGTATTGGAACATTAATTGAATATTGTCCTGTTTAATAGTCAATATGGATCATCACCTTACTCCCACAGCCCAAGGAAACAGGTTTTACCCTCTTCTTGTTTCCCAACCGGAGACATGGAGGCTGAGGGCTCTAAAGTGACTTGTCCAAGGTGGTTGAGCCATGACTGGAATCTGCCACATGCTCAGCTCTAAAGTCGGGACTTGTAACTCAAGTGTCACCAAGTCCTTCTTTTGGGAGATGGCTTGAACCTTGTGCTCACCCTTCTCAAGCCATTCTGACTGCCACTGTCTCCCCATTTCTGGAGATTCAGAGTGTTCCTCCCCAGGGGCCTGAGGATGCACTCCTGTAGATGAGGGTGGATCACAAATATTCGCTTAGGGATTTGTACATGCCTTCTGTTTCCAGACTCTCCTGGCTTGTGAGTATTTCTGACAGAGATTACCATGTGCATGGAAACCTGACAAGAGGGCTCAGTGGTGATGAAGGGGTCAGAGTAATTGTGGGTTGGGGTCCTTATTGTACTTACTTTGCATCAAGTCCTTCTCTGCCTCAGCTTTGATCCTCTGTAGCTCCAGGTCCATCTGCTTCCAATTGTCATGGGTGGGGTCCAAGACCTGTTGACCTTTATGCTGAGTCTCCTCAGTGCCACCCACC